TCTTGATGAATGGTTTCCACATTCGCAGTTATTACCTCCCACTCCATCTGAGTCATACGATAATAGTGATGATAATCAACTCAGTACGGGTAACGATACATCGAAGGAACTCAATAAAATGTCTCCACAAGAAAATATTCCCCTAACATTTTGTGAAGAGAGATCCTCGAACAGGTCGTATTGTCTTGTGTAAACAATCACCGATGAACCAACTCAGGGTTTTATAATGCACTAATAAACCTCCGCTGATTGAACAGCACGGGTTGTTCATACCAAATGCCCTATCCAGAGAATCCACTTCCGTTGTAAGAACGAGAGCGATCAGCAGCACATCTAATTCTTGCAATATATTGCAAAACCCTCGAGCAGAAGTAAAAACCGAAGACAGAATCGTTATTGTTAGTAACTCAGCTGGCAGCTCTGTCTGCACATATGCTCCGAAAGCAAAAGAATCGGTGATCAGCATTGTGATGCTATTGGTCAGCTGTATCGATTGTTCTTGAAATCATTATTCGGAAACAAAGCTGCAAAATTTCGTTATGAATACCAATTAGCTTTATGAAAGTGCCATTTTGAACATTTTGCTTTTGAGGGTCAGTCAACTTTCTGAAACCTTCACAAGCAAGTAATCAATAGATTACGACACTTAATGCTTGCTTGCTATCTCCCTTAAAATATTTTTATATCACTTGAAAATTTCAGCCCACTCATTGACAAAGTGTTTCCGTGAAACTGAGGCTATCGGCAGATACCAAGAAGCAGATTTCAAAATTGATGTGCTCAAAATAATGGACAGATATCGCGAATTAGTTCGTAAAGCCAAGCAATATGTTCAGTTGTGAAATATTATATCTTTGTACTGCATCACTTTTCATAATGTTCTTCAAATGATGATTTATGATTTTCAATCATTCCACAGCGCATATCGTTATTGGGATCTATATGATTTGCGGCGTATGTATTAAATTGAACAAAACGATTACGTTCTAGGCGACATAGACAAACGATTATTTACTCACTGAACGCGTCAAACAATGCATTCAAGAAATGATTCTTTGGTAAATGGGTATCGTTTTCGAAAATACTTTATCTACCCCATCAAGTCAATCGTAACGTTGTGAACAATTCCTGAGCTGTGCTACGGCGATATTTTTTGTTGTTGGTTTGGTTTCGAGTCAACGGATTTGGTTTTCATCACCACTTTCTCGTTGAAGAGATCAAATATGTCTAAAAGAACCTATTCGCTGTTAGTGTGATCGCTGCAGAGTTAGAAACTGCATCATTGGCCACCGACAGAACAACCTATCTGTAGCCACTTAGAAGGCAAACGTGACATTCGACTGAAGGCAACCGACAATCACTTTTGGTCAATAACACCGAAATACGGTGACCATCCGCCTAAATCTAGTGTTGTCAAATTACCGATAAATTTCGAAGTATACTTTTGTTTACTTTGCTTCGACCCGTTCTCTTGGAATTTGCTCTCTTCAATCCCAAAAATTGCTTTAATGTGATCGGTTTACTGAAGTATAGTTTATCTATACAGTGAGTTTACCATGTCAAAGTTTTTTGGTCGTTGCAACTAGAGACTCACTGTTAAGTGTTTTCATGGAGGATTTAGAAGAAACGATAAGCAATCTGCACGATATCTAGCAACGACTCGAGAGTGATTGCAATATGGCAATTAATCAACATGATGCCGATCAAAAAATTGCACATGTTGACTACTTTCAGAAATTGGATCTGCTGTAAAATATACTTTGCTTTTACTTCTCCTCGCTCTCAGTTTTTTTTTTTTGAAAAGTACTTATAATTTACTTCTCGATTTCCTTACCTCTACTGAGATAAAGTTTAAGTAGGCTTTAAGTAAATCTGACTTTAAATATCTAAAAAATCTAACTTAAATATTACTTATACTTTCCCAATATCACTCTTATGGGCATTTCATTCACCTTATACTCACAATGACTCGAGTTAACGGTAACATTTTAGTTAATGCAGATGTAGAAAAGCCCTCAAGATGAGTTGGTTATAAGAGGAAAGCTGATGAGTCGTTTAAGTAAGTGTCCGTCGGCAGCACTTCTTGATGCATCAGAAGGAGTTTTGGAAGGTTTTGCGCTTGATTAAGTCTGCGCCTAAAGTTAGACCAAGCTCAAGCTTTAAGCTCCTCCTAGGCAGATGTAAATGCATAAAATAAGGAACGTCTGAGAAGTGCTCTTTCTTAATATTCGTGAGTGGTTCGCATTGCTCTCCATTTCAATTTGAATGCACAATACTCACAAATTGTCATAAGTCTCAACAACATCTGACTCTCTCGCTGTTATCGTTCATCGTTATTTTGCCATTATGTGAATAGCGATAAACTGATGATCGTTGAGTTGTTATTCACTTGCGCAAATTGTTTTACGAATGTATTTGTGTTCATTTCCGTATTATCAACGAATTAATTCGTTTTGAAATGTTAACAAGCAATGGTTTGCTGAGTGTGGAATGCGTAATCCGTATGGATCGATCGTTTTCAACCCGTTTATTCCATCTCGCTAACAATAAATATGACTTTTCGTCCAGTTGGCTGGTGTAACTGTGGCTAGGCTTTAGCTTAGTTTTACGTTTTCAGTTTTTCTGTGTATGTTAAACCATAGAACTATCGTGGTAACAATAAGGTTATGTGATAGAATTGCGATCTAATCAATACGCAAATGTTTCAATTCTGTTTGTGTTACGTTGTCAATTGCAGTCAGCTGATTATATTTCTCAAATACAAACTTCTACGTGCTAGAGCATTATTTGCTCGAAACACTTGTTGATAATGAGTGGCAATCAACTCAGTACTACAGGTGAATACTTCATTTTGCGTTTGCAATTAATTGGTTATTTCACGGCTTATCTGATAATAGAGTTTATCACGAAAAGTCATCAGAGCAACTTTTTTGAAACGCAAATATCAGTTATATAATTGTTGTGTACGATTGTAGCATAACATAATTACAGTCATGTTGATATTATTTATAATGTGCTTCACTTTGAAGCTTCATCTTTTTTATTGCTTTCCGCACTGTGTATTCTTTCTCTTTCGTTCGATTCTTTTTCTTTTTTTTTNTTTTTTTTTCGATGCCAATGGAAATTTACCGCTGATTCAATAGTGATTGTTTCGTATTTAGATCGACCATTTGAAGCGAATGCCACTATAAAGTCACGAGCACGTTCACCGTATTCAGGGCAAAGTTCTTCACCGTTCTCATCAAATATCAGTGAAACTGAATTAGATGCTTCTTCTCTCTCACCACATTCATCGTACCTTTTTATTTTTATATTTTAATTTTCCGTTATCAGAAATGTAATGATAAAACTTCACAGCTTTTTTACAATGTCAAAAAGTAAGGCAAAAATAGTGATGGTGTTATATTAGTCACCAGCAGTTACAGTATCGTTGCGAGCATTCTTTTTTAAATCGATTCTATGACCTTCGATATCATAAGAGAAGTCCTCACTTTAAGCACTCAGTTTCATCTATTTCATGAGAAGAACACGCAGAAGTTCATTCCACCCACAGATAACGGAAACATATAGAAGAATTTCGTCGAATGAATCAGGAAATTAGAATGCTACTCTGAACTTTACAGATGTTCATCACTGAATCAGTTGAATACGTCAACGTCGAATTCACAATCGAAATTATTAACAACACATCCGTCCTCATCTGTCCAACAACAGCAACAGTCGCCTTTGTCGTTATCGAATCATCCACGACCGAACAGTTCTGATAATATAAATAGCAGCTCGACTGATAGTTTGATTAAAATGAGAGTGAATCACAATGCGAAGAAAGGTGATAGTAGTGATGATGAGGCGGACAATGATAATGAAGATACTGTCGAAGATGACAGCAACAGCAGTTCGAATGATGTTCTGAATTCGAGGCATTTCCTTCAATCATTGTTTTTATCGTTGTTCTTTTCATATCACCAACGTCCTTATTGTTTAGTATTTCAGTTGACGTATTATATCAGCGTTTCAGATAAAATTAAGCAATTTCTGAATTATTCGGGGTTACATTGAGAGTGGAGTGAGCGTCATGGTTCTCATATGAAACAAGTTCACTTGCTTGCGGATACGGTGAAATAATAGCTGATGAATGGATGGGCCCATTGTTAACTCAATTTTCAACATGTATATTTCATACAGTATGTGTCATTTAGTTTTGGTAATAACAATAGCAGTATAAATGAAAGATTGCGGAACGGTAATGAAGGCGTGCTGTGGAGACATCATATAGAGCATACGCTACCAATATCGCACGAATTGTTGGGCCGTAAATTCTCACTGAACAGTGCCATACCAAACTCGGTTCGTTGATTTCGTTTTTGGTATGCTTTTTGTGATTATCGTTGGTCTGAGAGCTTTTTGCGGTTAGTATTTGCGCTTAGAGAAATATCACTTTTGATGATCGGCGGATGGTTGCGATGC